GAATCGCCTGGCCTATAGTGAGATCAGAACTGCTCTGCTTGGATTATTTGAGGCTGGAGGAGGCCACGGTGGACATCGACAATCTCACATGCACCGCGCCTACTACCAGGACTATGAGGCTGAAGAGACCTTTGACCAGAACGCAGAGCACGAAGGCTACTATGCCTATGAACCCTACGGCCAAGACTCCACCTATGAGGACTATGGTGAATGGCCTGATGAAGACAACTTTTTGAGGCCAGCGAATGGGAGAATGGAGAGGAGTTCGATGAGGAACTTCTACGACTCCAACAAGAACAAGAAGAAAGGGAAAAGCACAAGAGCGAGCTTGAAGCCATGTTGGGAGAGACCGACAGGAACTTGATTGAAGCTCGCAAGGCAGTTGCAGCAGCTCATAAAGATCGCGGCTGGTCAGGAACCGTTCAGCAGAAGCAGCCTCGATCGACGAGTACATACCCTTGGAAAGGAAAGTCCAAGGGAAAGAACAAGACCTTTGGACCACCTCGACCAGTTCCCCATGAAGGGTCACTGGATGCAAGGTGGCAAGAGTGGAAAGGGCCGATCCTCCTTTGGAAGCTATGGTGGCTTCAAGGGCAAAAGCAAGAAAGGAAAAGGCAAGGGCTCATATGGTTCCAACTTCAACATGGGCATGATGGAAGTTGCTGATGACCTCGACGATGAGGGCATGTTTCCGATGATGATGACAGCAACTCCGGAAGTGAGAGCGCCCAGGGCCCAGAGATCCCAAGCTTCCTCCTCACCAATCTTTGGTCGACGCCGGCGCCACTGCAACAGCCGGTGGGAAGCAGCTGTGCAAGACCTGTGTAAAGCCTTGGTAGCATCACGACCAAACCTGGAAGTGACCGTGTTCGAAACGGCGAGGCCGTGGTTCCGCTTCGGCAATGGTCGCTGGGGAAGGGCACTCTACAAGGTTTCCCTCAAGGATGCCACCACAGGTATAACTATGTCAATATATGCTCTACCTGCAGTTGGTGTTCCGGTCCTCACTGGCATGAAGGAATTGCAAAATCTCCAATGTATCATCAACTGTACCACGGGAGCATGTGTTATTAGAGGTCAGCCCATGCAGTTGCAAAAGAACCACAAAGAGCACCTCATCATCGACTATAAGGAGCACATCTTCCCCGAAACCACAACTGGTCCACATCATACGGAGCCCAATGCGGTAAAGACCCCATCCTCTTGTTCCACATCGTCGAAACCTTCTCGGAGGGTGAGTTTTTCGGAAATCGAAGAGTGTCATGTCTTAGATATCTTCACTTTAGATTTCATGGATGACGACATGGAAATCATGACTTTGGAAGAGAGTGATTGTTTTTGCAATTTTGCGCCGGATGCTTCTCAACACTTGGCACGTCACTTGGGAGTGACGGATATGTCTCTGCAGCATCTCATGACCACAGCTGACGACCGACAGCAGTGCCCGAGCTCATCCCCTTCCTTCGAACCATGGCGGACTCATCCCTCAAGGAAGAGATCAGGAAGGCCGTGAGAGAAGTAGTTCAAGAAGAGATTTCGAGTGCCACCAAACTGGCAAAGGAGGAGATCAAGTCAACGGCGGCAAAAGCGAAGGGGAAAGCAAAGACCAAAACCGAGCTCGACTACACCCGAAAGGCTGGCATGGACCTGAGGGATCCAAGGGCAAAAGATCAGCAATGGCCATGCCTGGGGAGCCACCATCCTCAGAGTCATGGCAACAGGTTCGGCAGCTGGACAGTCAGAATGCAGCACCTGCGGACGTCGTCTGAGCTACATCCCGGCAACGAATGCACCGGCCCAAACGACCCATGTGGATTTGCCGCAGAATGTGACACTGGCCTTGGAACGACTTCGTACCGAAGGCTCGGAACCACAGCAAATCTCAGCCACACAGGTCAAGGCCATGACTACGATCGTTGCCAAGGAGTACCAGCTTCTGAAAACCCCGAAGTCCAAGAAGGGTTACAAGCCGAACGATCTCCCGCAGGAACCGTCAGCCGCCTCAGGAATGACCACGAAGCCGGAGGCCTACCCGATCCACTCGGACTCCGACTTCGAGAAGGTCGACACGGGCTCGGAAGGAAAGAAGAAGAGGGAGAAGGGCACTGGAAGTCAGCAGTGACCAGTGCTGATGATGACGACCATCAGCCTCAATCGGAGGCTACACGGCAAAACCTTGTGAGAAGCACCACGGAATTCAACACGGGCACCTGTCTGGGTGCTCTGCAGGACTACACCAATCCTTCCCTTGTTTGGGAAGTCTGCTGTCGGGCAGACTCAGCACTGATGAATGCGGTCCACAAACAGAAACTTCAAGGGCATCGCAAAACTCTCGAGACCGGCTATGACATTGGCAAGCCGACTGATGTTTCCAGGATGATTCAAGAGGCCAAAGAACTATGTCCATCCATTGCCTGGTTCAACCTGGTTTGCACAGCGGTCACCTCCATCCAGAACCTCAATCAGAGAGACTGGAAACAAGTGGATAATCTTCGAAAGAAGAGACAGCGATGCCGAAGACAATTGCGAGGAGCGATTGCAATCATATGGGCAATCATCATTCATCATGGCTAGTGGAAACACCAGCAAGTTCTTCTTTGAGTGGCCAAGATGGGCAACAGCTGGATGGCGCTGACCCGAACTGCAGAACTTCATCCAAGAGTATAACAAGGAGTTCGGACGCCTCTACTTCACACAGATTGACGGCTGTATGCACGGGATGAAAAGTCCAGATGGCTACCACATCCAAAAGAGCTGGCTGATCCTCCACAATGACCCTGAGTTCCACGACAAGTGTGGAAACAAGTGTGATGGCCAACATCTACACCGACCTGGTGGAATGATTGGCATGGGAAGCAAGGCCGTCGCTGAAACAGCCGCCTATCCAACCACCATGGTCACAGCCATTGCACACCTTTGGAGATCTCAATGTCATCGAGGCCGACACGCTTCTCCCAAAGAGATGCATTTGCATCGAATGGATCCATTCAAGCTAAGCTTGTTGTCAGTAAGCTGCGCGCGAGCCAAGAGAGCGCGCGTGCAATGGCAACATCTTTCACCGAAGTGGTCGCAACATATTGGCAGACTTCAGCTCTGCCACCGCCGAGGTTGCAGGAAGCAGGACCACCTGCCCGAAAAGGCCAAGGAGAGCCCTTCTCGTCAAAAGCAAGGAGCCCGCACGGGGCAAGATGCAACGGCAACACGCCGATGTGTAAGCATGTTCGTGGCTTGTTTGGGGCCAGCCAGTCTACAGGGGGAAGGTTGAAAGGGCGCAAGACCTCTTTGCCTGTGCTTTGCAAGGGTTGCAATTTCAAGCTGGCGCAAAGCTCCCATTGCAATTGTGATGATTGCCCCATTCATTGCCAAATCTACCTGATGATATACTGCACACTCTCCACGCTCTCTAATGCTTTCCCTTTATTGTTTCCTTGTACGCCTGCCGAACAGCTCGGGCCATCCGACTTGGAAGATTCAGTGACGCACCCGTCATTTCTAACAGCTCAGCCACAGTCAAAACCGCCTTCCCGACGCTCATCCTGCACACTGAGTGCTCCAGCCGCGGGAGACACTTTCAGTGAAGTGTTCACAAACACTTGTCAGAAGGCAAGGCCAATGGCAGTCCTGTCCAAAAGAATGGTGGAGCACTTGGCAAGGTGCAATGGTATTGTGCCGATGTGTATGCATGTGTGCGGCTTTCGTGGGACCGGCCAACTCACACGGGCAAGGTTGAAAAAGTGTGTCCGGTTTCTTCGCAACATCATTCGCACCGCTATATACAGTAGGTTTCAGATGTTTCAGCACCTTTGCATTGTATGACACCGTGCTTCAGTGGCTTTCTTGGGCTTTCGAGTGTCCCTATCTCAACCTGTCAGCTACTTTTGCGCATGATTGGGAAGGCGAGGAACGTGACACCGCAGTTCGCTGCGATGACTAACATCGTAGAACGCACCTCAAACTTGACCGAGAAGAAAGAGATTAGAAAAGGAGAAGAGAATAGCCTGTCCTAAAACCCACCCACAGGGACAACTCAAGCAGCTGAGGCAAACAATGTTATAGTAGCTGGCAGCTGGAATTCAGTAAGCAGGACTTGGCCAGGCATGACATCGATTCACATGATTTTGTTTCCAAACCGAGGGGAGGCTGCCATTCTTTTGGGAGGCAACAATACCTACCAAAGTTGATCAATTTTGTTGTTGTTGTGTGTATATAACTGTATGTATTTGCTCACCCCTCTTGAAGGAAAAGGGGGTTCGGGGTCGGGGTTGGAGTAGCATATGAATGCATATGTGGATATGCATGAGGCGTATATCCACGTACACACACACAGACATAAGTAGGCGGAACTTAGTTTTTCGTGTCTCAAACCTGACGCGTTTGCAGCGTATACTTGGGTCAATAAATACCTTTGGGGTGTTGTCAAAACTCCGTCGGAGCCTGACCAAGCACAGCCAACCGCCGCGCACCCAACCGAAGCACATAAAAACATCCAGCAACCAGCAGATACCCTGCAATTTTTCAACAGACAATGATGGCAAGAATCAATCTCACCTTGTCAAGATCCTTGAAGTACCAGCAACAAATTCATGAGCCCCTGCTTGCAAAGCAAAACAACTCCTCCCCAAACTGAGCTGACCATCAAATCGCACACTTTGGTATTGCTCAGGAAGAGGCGCACATGCATGATATGAACAGAAAACAACCCCAGCGTCCGTGCTGGAACAGATCGGAAAAAGGATCGCGGACCAGGGCACGGCATACGATCTGACCAAAAAAACCAGTCTTTTATTGAAAGGGCTTCTAGCCAACATGGCTCGTGTAGTGCAACAGGGAGTGCAGATGTAGCATCTGGAAAAGCCACGTTTCTTGTTCTTAGGGATGATGCAACAAAGACTGCTGTCGTGGTGACCTCGCTTCTTTGAAGTCATTGGTTTTGGTCGTTTCCACCGTTGAACGACCCGGCAGCCATTGACGCCCGAAGCGCCCTGCTTGAGCTTCAGAAGATGTGGCCGCTCGGCAGCCGTCCACTTGGGATGGTGGGCCCAGGATTTAGGGAGTATTTGATGTAGGGAGTATTTCGCTAGATGACCCTATGGCCTGATCAAATTGAGCACTTTGCTTGCACACACTTGGATGTTGCAGACATGAGGCTTCAATCAGGTACATCAGATCATCCAGCGACTAAGTAGCTACATATATATATATAGATTAAAGGAATTAGATATAAATATACACGAGTTGCCGCGAAGTCTTTTGCTGATTCTTCAGGTGTGCCTGCAATCATGCTGAGGAAGAACCCTTCGCTGACAAGGTCACCAAGTCTCGTCAAACAGTCGAAGTTGTCAGATTCACTCCCTTTCAGAAGGCATCTACAAGCATATGTCATATGTATATCTAGTTTCTCTTTTTGTGTGCTTGAGAGTGGCCAACCACACAACCCACCAAGCCCTCAAAAAAGCATCATAAACCTATCTTGGAAGTGCCATGAGTCCCAGGGACGGTTGAGACTGCTACTGTGTTCAGACTGGCATCGTTCGAATTGCTCCAAACGGTTTGGTCTTTTCGGGCCCTTGGCTTCGTCGCCACTTCACCAGGCGAGCTTGCCGATGTACAGCGACGCCGAGCTGGGTCAAAAACCCGTGGAGCGGGGGGTGTTTTGCATGGTGAGGGCAGAGAGAGTCTTATGGGATGGGTAAGATGATACGAAGGCCGGTTTTCTTTTTTCCCCTCTTCGCCCTGCAAAGCTGATGAGATAGATGTCTTGAAGCCCTCCTGCGTTTTTTTGCCCGTGAGCCTTTGTTATAGCTGTACCGTTGCTTGTTCTTTAGCTGAGCCACATCCCTGCTGCAACATGTCATCCGATGCCACGTTACCGGCCAGTTACCTATAGGGAGCATTGGGAGCATCCGTCCCGAGCAAAACGCCACGAGTTTCAGATGGTTCCTGTTAATATTCAAAGCGCATTTTCATACGTGCTCCTCCTTGCAGGAGCCGAACGAGGAGACGATTCAAAAGTTCAGCGAGGTCGAGGTCATGGCCCAACCCAAGGCGCAAACGGAAATCGGTTTGGTTTGCTCATTTGCATGGGCATATCCTTGAGCCCAACCACCCACCCAAGAAAGTGACAAGGTCCCCAGGTCGTGGAGGTGGCTGTCCCCTCAATGGGTTGAACCTTGTTTGCCAGAAATCAACTTGGACCCAAAAGCACCCCAGCCATTTCGGGGAGCCTTTCCTGCAACATTTGAAGTAAGCTGTTTTGGCATGTTGGGACACAGTTGCCGTGCCCCCAAAAAGAGAGATTGGTAGTTACCGCTCCCGCGCCTTGCTCAGGGCGTTTGAGATCCCAGGAGTCAGATCCATTGGCTCTTCCCAAACCTTCCATACCCAAGGGGTGGGTGTGTTTCTCGCCTCTTGCGGGGTGCGTGGGTGCTGTGTGTTCTGTCCTGGCTGGCGATGACGTTTGCGGAGCTGGCTGCCGGGCCTGAGCCATGCTCCACTGTCCCTGTCTGTCTCTCTGTCTGTCTGTCCGTCCGTCTGTCTGTTTGTCTGGGCAATGGGTGTTCAGGACAGGAATCGGATTGTTGAGAAGATTCATGGATTGAAATGCCCAGACTCTTTCTTCATCACGGCCGGACGAGCAAACCCCAGGGCCTGCGGGCTATTCACATCTTTACCTACCCTGTGGCAGCCGAATCAATTGCCTGCTTAGCGCAACAAGTTTCAGCTGCAAGGTTTGTGATTCTAGCATCAGGAGCATTTTTTGCCGTCAGGCTGCTCAGATCCAAGAAAGCAGAGAGGAAACCGAGGAGGAATCCATCGAGGAGGTGTGAAGCAGTCAAATCTGGCTCACAGTCGGAGTGAGTATGAAGCCTCCTTGAAAAATTGTATAGACATGTATAGAATATATTGTTTCCAATAGCTTCTTGTTGCTACTAGTAAGGCCCTTTGCTCCTAGTAGCGATGCACTTGTTCCTAGTAGCTTATTGTGTCTATGTATCAATCCTGTTGCGCAGTTAGCAGAGAAGAAGACATCAGCTGAGCGCCTTGGGCTAAAGACAGGTGGATTGACACCTTGTTATTTGCTGGCACGTAGTGACGTAGTGTATCACACGACGTCTGGCTGTGATCATACGTCCATCCTGACAAATTGAATTGTCACGAAAGCTAGCGTCAGTTAGCTGGAGTTGCTCTTGCTTTAGCAAGTGTATGGCTGAACAAATTTCCCACTGCTAGGCCCCCCCGGTGCGCGGGTTTCGACTCCCTCCTAATCCCCTAAACTGACTGTGTCTCAAGCCCTGTTGGAGAACTACATCTGGTCCAACGAGTTCACTCCGGTCGTCGTCATCAACGACCTCAGGGTACAACTGGTTCAACTCGCTGGCACTCCGGATTCGGAGCCAGCAGGGAACTAGCGTCAGTTCGTCAACTAAACTTAAAGATTTGTCAGACATCTCAGGTTTCCTCCGTGGTCTTTGTGGAAATGCTTGGAAGTAATGACCTTGACAGATTTGTGATGAGGCCTTTACACACATCCAAGAAGTTGTTCCCGCCAACAGTGCAACCCCTAGTGAAACTGCAAGGGAATTTCGTTTGCCACGCGCCGACCTCTTGAAGTGACGATGATGTGGAAAGTCTTGAGTGAAAGATTGTAGGGTGTTAGCTCCTTGATGCAAGCGTGTTGGGTGTTACCCCGTCAGAATCAATCAATCCGTCAACTTCTCATGGAAGCATCCCAACACAGTTAGCCAGTCCAGTGCCAAAGTGCACCTCATGTTTGCGTCTCCAGCTGTTCCGTGCGTCCGTGTTCGTCGATCATAGGAGAAAAGTACACCACCTGGTCAGGAGATAGGGGTCCAATCAAACCAGGTACTGTGTGAAATTTAGCCACCGCTTTCTCGTGCCGTTCCCCCCCAAAAGGGACACGCAGCTTTTGCATCATGCCATCCCTTTTGCCTTCTTTCCCTCCTTTCTCCCCTGGCCATGCCAGCTTCCCTGGCTGACAAGTGTGGTTTGGCATTCTTCCATCCAGAGGAATATTGCCGCGGAGATGGAGAAGGTGGAGAGAACGGCTCAGAAGGCGCTTGAAGCACAGAAAGAAAACGCCAAGGCGTTGCAGGCAATGGAGCGGGTACACGAAGAATACATGACAAAAATGAGGGAGCAGCAACAGTTAGCAGAAAGCACCAACAAGGAGTTGCAAGATATGAAGAAGGCGTACGAAGATAAGATTAAGAAGATACAGGAGGAACAAGAGAAGGTGAGCGTAGACGCAGCAAACACCAAGAAAGCTTTGCAGGATATGGAGAAGGTACACGAAAATAAAATGAAGGACCAGCAAGTGACCAACACGAAAATATGGGAGAGCATGAAAGACATGTCAAAAGCACTGCAGGATGAGAAAGTCAAGAATCGTGTGATGGAGAGGTATGTTGAGAATGACAAACAGAACAAGGCAGAAGAAAAACTCCAAGCTCAGAAAGCCAAGAACAAAGCCGAGGAGAAAGAGCGGCAATTGAAGCACAAGCCTCCTGAGAGTGTTTATACAGCAGCCTTGATCACGTGGTTATGCTTGAAGTGCCCCAAATGCCAAAAGCACTCCATTCTGAGCTTCTTCGGAGTTGAGGTCTCGAGCTTCCTTGTTGCCGGTTTGAGCGTAGCAGCTCAATCCTTTGTGATCTACTACTTGTGGTACGACCTGGAGCAGCGCCTCGAGTGGGGCCAGGACCCAACATACAAGGGCGAAAGGGCCATTGCCCCTTGCTCCTTACACCTCAATCTCACCTTACAATTGATTGGTGCTGGCGCGTTTGTTGGCATCATGCTGGCCGACCTGGAGGAAAGTCTCATGATGTTCTGGTGGCTCTACCAGAAAAATGTTCTTCATGAATCCGACGATCCAGGATATGAAACCGGTGGGAAGAATGGCCTCAAGGTTGAGGGGGAGGAAGTGGTGGAATTCAGCATGAGTCGACGCCGGAGGATTTTGGGTGCCATTTTCTGTGTGCTGCCCAAGTTCGTGATCACCGTATGTCTCACTATCGTTGGAACCCGGTTTGTGGTCCTGGCTGACGACAATGCCGAACTACTCCTGAATTGTGTGGCCATGATCTTTGTGATTGACTTCGATGAATTGTGTGGCCATGATCTTTGTGATTGACTTCGACGACCTGGCACACAAGAGGCGGGCCCTTCCCCCTTTCCCCCAGAGTTTTCCAGTTACTTGATAGCAGAGTCTGTCGTGGCAGTATTTCGTTACGTTTGAGGCTGTCTCCAATCCGCATGAAGAATCTTGTGAAGCACTTGCCAGAGGCTGTTGCCAAGCAGGGTGGCTGCTTGCAGTACGTTGACAATTACCTGGGGGGGCCTGTTTAAGGGTACTCTGTGGGTAGGGAGTGTTGTGTCTTTGCGCTTTAGCCTTTACTGTGGATATGGTTGTTGTTGGCCCTCGACAGATGAAGATAGATAGTCGTAGAACCGTAGGAATCGCAGGAATTGGTGGCCTGAGAGGCAAAGGCTTCTTGAGCTGTGAGGTTTTGCCGAAGGCAAAGGCATCCCCCACTGCAGGGTGCTGTGTAATCCTGCTTTCTGGCACCACTTCATCTGGATCACCAACATGATTTAACTTCACCATTTGGATGTGGGGATGTGGGAGATGGACCCACGGCAGACTCCAAAGTGAGTTGCTGATGGATTTCCTTAGTTGAAGTTTGGAAGTGTTCCTGGCAGCCGGACGGCGCTTCGCATTTGATCCAGTAACCCAATATGGGAGACTTTCGCTGGGCCTGAAGGGTGTTTGTGCTTTAACATGCTCGAATGCAGCAAAAGATCCGGGTGTTTGGACTTATTTTCTGTTCGATGTTTCTTCATGTGTTTGTTCGATTCATCGGATTCGTTCCCTCCGCGGCCTTGGAGCAGGCCTGTCTCAAAGCGTCCAAGAGTCCAAACCAGTTTTGGATACCTGCGAAGCATGCAACTTGTCAGACTGCAACCCCTGCGGTCAACAGGTGGAGGCTTTGTGCTTGAGAGCGACTAGTAGCAGGATAGTTTGGAAGGTGCCATCGGGGAATGGCTTGCTATGCAGACGGGCCGGAGGTTTCAGGCTCAAATCCTACCTGTTCTGTAGTGTGTTGAATTTCTTGTTGCGAGTACGGGCGTCAGCAATGCCAGCAATGCTGTCCTTGTTCTTCATCAGCTTCATGCAGTGCGCCTTGACAACCAGGGAGTCAGAGTCCACAGGTCACAGTGCGCTTGAGAAAGAGGGCGAAGCACGCACGTCTTGTTCTGAGAGAGTGGACACGGTGATGAATGGACCCTACGGCACATGGTTCGGTCGCAAGATCCATTCTTTATCCTTGAACGATCCGTTTGAGTTTGTCTTTGCTGCTCAAGACCACGGTTTGACTGAAGAGAAATTTTTGACGACAGTCAAGAGTTCAATGCTTTTTCACTGCAGATTCTTTCGGTCCAAAAAGACCTGCGCTGGGGTCCGCAATGCTCGCTTCCAGGAACCGCTTTTTCCTGCCAAGATCAGCCCTCGAGATCCCAACTGCTTCAAAACGCTGGATTCTTATGCCAATGATCCCGCGCAGAAGGAGAGATGCGCCATTGTGAAGTGCTACCGCGAGCTTGTGGAGAAGAATTGTGCTGACGTGGTGCTTGGTGGTGGACAGCTTGCGAGTTTGAAGTCCCACTGTATCAAATAGAATGTGTTCTGTCGAGTGCTGTTGAATTCCAGCGAATAGCATCGCAGGTAAAATGAGTTGCCATGACTGCTACTTTGGATGTGTGTGTGCGCAGAGTGGATGAATCAACAGATATATGATATATAGTTGTTCTGAGCCTTCTCGCCAAATCTAACCCATCGGAGTTTGGTCCGAGCATGCCTCATAACTAGGCAAGAAATCATGAATTAGTCTTATGCAGCTGAACTCACCAATGCAAGCAACTTCAAGATTTCGCCAACGTGGCTACCAATGTTGCCATGGCAAAGTCACCATGGACGTCCAATCTTTGGCGAGGTGCCTTTGGCTGGCAATTTCTTTGGCCTCCAGCGGTCCAAATCCTGGAATTGCTGCAGGTGCACGCAGCTGCAGAAGTTGTGAGGCAAGAGATGTTGGGTTTCAGCAGGGTGAGCAGAGAAGTCCGTGGGGCTGGCTCAAGGCTGCCAGAGGCCAGATTGGGCGCATCGGATGGTGCTGGTAGAGTGGCAAGGTGCTTGGATGTTATACAGGGGGCCCCATGCTTTGTCGTTTTTATCCAGGAGGGCGGTCATGCTTTGACTCAGCAGTAAAACTTCTGAGCTACACCTGCTTAGGCCAAGGGGGTTCTTATCAACTCTATCCAGCAAAAAAAGTAGAATTCGCCATGTCTCTCCTGCCCTGCCTGTGTGAAGCTCCTGGCTCAGCATAAGCAGCAACGAAGCACTATGAAACTTGAAGCACTTTTTGTATTGGAGCTTCTCAATTTGGGACAGTATGACCGAGGGTTTGGTCTTGTCTTTGACCAGCGCTTTTGGCTCAAAGCAGCTATGATAATGGAGTGCGGTCTAAGCTGTAGCTCGATCGCAACTCCAGACACCAACGAATCCTGAGCGAACCAGTTTGGTTGCACAGTGTTTGTGAATTCAGCAAATCCTTTGTTGCTGTTAGTTGCAGGTTGCAACCCTCTCTTTCAAGGTTGCTTGACTTGTCCGTTCCTCTCGAGGCAGCAGGGCTTTTCATGCCTGAGCCCTCAAAGAGGGCCCACCAGCATTTCTGCAGCAGAGCTCCTGAATGCAGGCAGGCACATCATATTTTGCTCGCATTGCACTTCAGCTGTTCCACAAACACCGACATGTGAGCCAGGTTGGAGTTGCCCTTTCTCCACGCAAAATCACTCGTTTTGCCGACTTTGTAGCTCGATTTCAGACTTGACTAAACGCCCACAGAACAGACTGTACAATTGTGTGGGCCGCGCCTGGATGAGAATGAGGTTTTTCCACCGCTGGAATCAGATCACAGAGACATGGAGGCTCGTTGCTTGTATGCTCCGTACTGCCACCCTGCAAGCACGCAAGTACTTTGTCCTAGTTGTTAGTCCTAGCAAATGTCAGTCCCAAAACGCCGCCTAGAGGCAATTGAAAGAACCGAAGTTACGCATATCAATATTCCCGAGCACCTATTTTAAGAATACTACCCAAAACTAATGCCGGAAAATACTAAAATTAAAATGGAGTCTGCATTAGTTTGGATTTTATATTGCCGCAGGGCAATTTTGGGGGGGTCTTAAATAGGGAAAGCTCTTGGATTTGGAGGCTTTTTCCGTGTGCGGTTTAATATGAGGATTTATATGAAATTGTTCTAGGCAACCTTTCGGTTTTGAAACTCTTCCCAGGGAAGCATGGCAATTTGGGTGCCTCCGATTACTAAAGGCCGACGTTTTGCGACCCTCGTTTGGTTTTAGTTGGGTTTTAAGTTTTAATTGTGCCTTTCCAAGTCTTTTCGTTATTCTGAGGAACACTTAGAAAGCAAAGAAGCAATTTTTTAGAAAGGAGTCTTACAAAGGGAAGAGGAAGACCATTCGACTTGCGGTTTTAAAATAAATTGGGAGCGAGTTTGATATAGGATCATTGGATTTTACAACATAAAGTGTCTCAATTTTCTGTTTTGAAGCTTTTCCCAGGCGCCCTGGCAGATTCTCCAAAAGGGGGACACCTGTAAAAAGAAAAAACAACGACTAAAACTCGACCTTGGAGCTTTTATTACAGGGGGGGCCGAGGAGGGGCGGGGCGGGAGCCATGTATATATATATATGTCCACGAGCCCATATATATATAGAACAACTGTAGGTGGAAGGAAATTATGTTGTTGCACTTCTGTTTTTATTGTTGCATACTGCTATGACTCTTGACTATACATTCGTTAAAACAGTTTTTGTTGTGGGTGCTGGGTGGGTGGGGACACTGTAGTTGCCTTTGCGATGATTCTTGACACCATCCTCGGAGGCCACCGAGGCGACTTCAATGCCAAGTGTTCAGGCCAGAAGGCGCGAATTCTTGCAGCATGTTTTCATCGCCAGATGCAATGGCGCACCGTGATTAGGCTTGCTCGAGCTGTGGCACACCGTTTGCCAGTGCTTAGCTGGCTGCCTGCGTACAACTTTCGCAGAGAATCCTGGCAAATCATCAGCTACTAGCACTGTGCATGGCTGCATCACTTGGGAAGGCTGTGATGGATTTTGTGATGTTGATGTGGTGGCACCAAGGACTTTTACTATGATTTTGCCGGTGGTTCTACCATTGCTTTGATTTGCTTGGTGGCTTGCCTGTGATTGGCAAGACCCAATTCAGTCACGAACCTGCTTAGGTGCAAACCCTCGCACATGCAGCTATTGCAACTACGAAGGTCATCCAAGGACTCGAACAAGCTGTGCATGGAAATGTCCGAGAGCCCAGTTACCAAGTTGCCCTCAAGGACCCTACTGTGCTTTTGTCCCACCATTGGTCTATGCCATGCTGGGCACCTCACCACATGCCTCGATCTCTTCAGGTGTGGTTTGCAACACCTTTTCTGTCACGTTCCACTGCTTGCTTCCATATATCCAATCCTATCCCTCTTTCTGATGCTTGGCAGGTGCAATTGCAGCGATTCTCTTGGCTGAAGCTCGGAGGAATTGAGCCGTGAGGCAGTAAGGGGGGGCGGCCGGACCCTGATACAGACATTTTATAATGAAATCCACCCGCAGGCCTTCCAGACATGCTGAACAGCATGCATGTGCTCCTACCCAGCTAGCAGCCAATTTGTTCTTCACAAGATTCGTATGAGGGCAGTGTCCTTCATCATAATGGGATTGGCGTCCAAAGGTGTCCACTGTGCTGTCAAAAGATGCTGACTGATGCGTTCCAAGGATCAGCTTCAATTGTGGCACGATGAAGACGAGCGGACTGAGCTGGCATCACTTCTCGCCTTAATCAGTGGAGGCCCCCACGTGAATTCAGATGTGCTGCTCCTTTGCTTGTTGTCCAGCCTTGCCCGTTTTCACAGGTTGGCTGGTAGCCTTGGGTTTGTGCAGGGCAGCTTTTCTTGTGCGCTTCCTATCCCGGTCACTGATCAGTGGCTTTGTGACTGGTGGTGCTGTGCCCTGGTTCAATGACCTTTTGTCAAAGATGCTCTCTCCTTGGAGCAGAATTTCTTGGTGTTGCTATCTGTTGCTTAGGTTCTCGTCCTCGTGGGGCAGTTGAAGAATCTGCTTGGCCTCCTGAATGCGAGACATGCCATCGGCACCTTGGCCTTCACATCCTTTTCTCATCATCTTCCTTCAGCAAATCATGCGTTCACATGCTCCTCTCCAAACTCACTCACCGAGTGACTGACTGGTGTGTCCAACTTGGAGCCGCCACATGCTCGCGCCTGAGGTTTTGTGGACCAGGTGCGAGCAATTTATGGCGCGTTGCCAGACACTCACATCCTCGGAGCTGTTTGGGGCGTGGCTCCCTGGCTCAACGGGATTTGAGTTCCAAATGCTGGAAAAACTCGACGCCAAATCCATTGGGTTTTAGGGCCGGGATCCATCATTGTGAGGCATCCGCAGGGCGGATTTGTTGGGTGAAGGTGGTACTGAGAAAGTCAACTGCCACAAAGGCAATGGTTGCTTTGCTTCAGCTCATGATGGTGCAGAAGAATCGATTGCTTGCAGAATTCAAAAAGAAGCCAGCCAACCATGGGAGTTGGATGATGCCACTGCTCATTGCATCAGTCGCTTGGCCCGAGAAAGTGACCATGGTTGGTCAGCAAAGAACGGGGTGAACTTGCATGGCACGGGTCGTTTCATGGCGACCAAAACTAGCCTCACCAAGGAAATGAAAGAACTGGTCGTGGTGGTTCTCAGCATTGCCTTTTCTTACACCACATCGATTGACGGCGAGCCAAGGCTTTGAGACAATCAAGATGCTGTAGAGACCATCTAGCAATTGCAGGGTTTTGCGTAGCCTCTGAACTCTGAACTGATGCCTGTGAGTGTGTCAACCAATCCACCCATCAATCTATTTGGACCTATCTATCTGCATACATGTGCCAATCCACTAGAACAACGTGCTTTTTTCTCAGCCTTTCGGTTCATACAGGCTGCCAGTAGTTGGAGACATTCCATCTGGCTTGCCTGGATTCATGCCTGCCTGGCAGTATCCCACATCAAAGCAGCTTGTCAGCTTGGGGGTCAATTCTGAAAGGGATTCGGTCGTCGGTGGAGATGCGACTTGAATGCGACTCAGGCTTGTCTTGGCCACCCCGCTGCGGGTCAAGGAGAGAAATCAATGCCATAGCTGGTTAGTGTTTTTTCCGTCCTTCTATGGCTTGTGGGCTTCGCTGGGAAGTCTCACCAGCATGAGTGAGTCAGGAGTTTTGCATGGGTGGATTCTTGGTGGCCTTGACCTCATTCTTGACGACCTTCGCTGCCGCCAAGAAGCAGGCGACCGAGCATGGCTATCACATTGATGCGAGCCCCAGTCTCAGGAACAAAGGCGCAGCTCAGAACATGAAGAGAAGAGTTGCCAGAAGAGTTGCCAGAAGTCTTGAGGCCAAGAGATGTTTGCGCTGGGAATGGCGGGAGTGTGTGGCTCTTTCTATGGCTCTTTTTCGCCGAGTGGCTCCTTGAGCCGCACCAGCTTGGCCGCTGAAGTGGGAGTGAAGACCCAGCTTCTTGGTGAGTCTTATATGTTCATCGCCAA